GCGGGGTGGCTGCGGCATGCGGCGTCTATAACCCTCCCTTCCCCCCTGTGTCTTACAGGCCGTGAGGCGACCGGCGGCGGGGAGCGGCCGCGTGAATAAAGCTGTGTGCGCACCGCAAACGTGTCCGGCTGCTTTTTGTGTGTTGTGTTTGTTTTTTTTTCTTCCTCGCACTGCCTTTGACCCAGCGGGGCGTCCCGCCCGCGGCGCCGCTGGCCAAGCTGCAGTGCCAGAGCGAAGCGCTTGTTCATAACTGGGGCTGCTCGGCCCCATCCGGGTGGCGCTTTTAAAAGCAAGTTACAGCTCGTCTCGGCACAAAATGGCGCCCGGTGGCGCAGGAACCGGGCGCGGAGACGGTGCCCGCCTCGGAGAGAAACTGGGCCGTGAGAGCCGAGATACGAGGGTAATACTAGGACGAAAGGGGATGTGGGTTGCTGAGGCTAGTAACGCGTCGCTGCCTGCTGTATAGGAATATGCAGCATGACTTAAAGGAGCCTAGACCCCGGCATTTGTCCTGCTGTAGTAGGGCTCAATTCGTAAAGAGGACTTAAAAATAAGGAGTAATGGTTGACGTCCGGGAATTGATACCTTCTGGCACCGGATTTAACTACTTGGCTTCCCTGCTTACTGGGTGAAGGGGATGTTTTAAGCAGGAGAAGCACACTCTGGTGTAGTCAGGTATTGGGGCATGTTGGAGGAAGCAGTGAAAGTATCTCGAGTTTGAACACAGGGATTTTAATCACAGGTATGTAAAGGGCTTCCACCTTCCCACTCACAGCTGTTCTAATAATGGTTCCTGATGTCCTGCAGGCAGGGGGATTATAAAATAATGACATCCCCAGGAACACTGATGAAAACATTGAACGTGAGCAAGTGGCAGCTGAGTCTACAAAGATTAAGATGAGAGAGGCTTTAACCGAAGGTAGTTCTGGATGTAGCGCATGCCACCTCTGTTCCAGGATCCTTTGGTTTTCAGGGTTCTTAGAGGCTTAAAATACATGCATTTTTAATGGATGTTCTTTCTGTTAATAGTAATTGCTCCAGTGAACAGCTGGTTCAGCAACAGATAGTGTGGTGCAGACAAAGGCATATCTTAGGCTATGTAGAGTCAAGCAGAAGCATGTGGGTGAGCAGCCAGTAAGTAGTGAAGTGTTCCTTTTACGTAATGTTTTGTGTATTATATGGGAAAAGACTGTCAAGATGCACTGAACTTCTGTCTACTGTTGTAGACTAGAACTGTTTGATCTAAAGCCTTTACCTTCAAAACTAGAGCAGTCTCAAAATCTCCTAACCCTAAAATTGGGACCATAACCATGCGGTACAACTTGAGTACAACAAAAATGAAGATCTGAAAAGCTCATACAGTAAGTCATGTTAGTAAGTGGCTTTTCTAAGGAAGCTTTGGAAATGACTTGCGGAAGAACAAAATTTAAATTGAGTTTGAATAATTGTTTCACAGGGGATAAATTTTATTTAATAAAACAAAGCAAGCAGATTGTAGTTAACCCACAGTTTATGAAGTGCAATATGACAATCTTGTGAAATAAGTCTAAATCTGTTTACACATTAGTGCATCTAGTCCTTTGACTTTAGTTATTGCACATAGAAATTAAATCATATAAAAGACCTGCGTACAAGACATGCAGACTTCATGAAAGGCAAATAATGCCTACATAATCAGAGCAAAATCCAGAATATACACAGCCTGGAATGGTCAAGGAGGAGTTCAGGTAACAAATATAACCTACTAATATTTCAATTAAAGGTAACCAAAATAGGTGTTCAAATATAGAATTAATTTTAAATATATTAAATGCTAGTTTTCTTTTATGTTTCAGGCAAGGTGCTGTTTAAAAAACCTTCAATATAATAGCTTCATTTAGAGATGGTAAATCATCAAGTTACACATGGAAATTTTGATTTACATCAAATGTGACAACACAACATAGAAAAATTCTTAAAAATTACTTTTAAAAAGAAAAACAAACCATGTTATAAAAGGAGAGCCAAAACTCACCTTCTCTGTAAACTAAAACATTTTCTGACATCCATGAACAGTTGGCAACTCTGAGCATCAGAAAAGTGTTATACATGTTAAATAGTGGATATGTAGTGTTCAAATCTTAAATTTAATGCATACGCTTAGTCTTGGATCATCATACCAGATAGAAATAAAAGGCAGTTTCCCCCTCCCCCTTTCGTTTTGGCCGTTAGTTAGCAGGAACAGTCTTTAATTATATCACAACCAGCTTATGATCAGCTTGAATAACTGCAAACGCTTGAATTCCTATTTCACAAACTCCAAGAAACCAACGCATAGGGGTCAAGATCTTTCAGTTACAGCTCTATCGTCACAAACGGCAAGTGATCTGAAGTCAGTGCAGTTGCATGGCTGTAACAGATGAGAGTTTGGTCCCCATGCTTTGCATGTAAACACAGTGCAATGGAAAAGACTCACAGCAACAAACTCTCCTATATATATATATATATAAAAAAAAAAAACCTTGGTGTGTTTCCTTGTAGCAAGAGGCTCTATACACAGTAGGGTAACTAAGTACTTCTGGTCATGTGCAGTATTAGACATTTTGTGTGTGCTCATGTCTTTAAACATTCAGAATTAATCATGAACCATGGTGATTGTACCTCACTATAAGGCGGCTTATTATAGTTTGGTCTCATGGCTTTACCAACTTTTGTCTCCTCAGTCAAAGATTCTGACAGTTCCCACCTTCACTGATAGTTGTGTGTATGTTTTATGGCTACTTGCTTCCCAAAAAAAGCACAAGTTCCATATGAAAAAAGTAATATGTATATACCACATTGAATCACAATATTACCTATACATCCAATTTACATTCTTTTCTCCTGAAAGCATTTCATATTTCGATCGCTTGACACAAGCTATTGACTGCAGAAGTGAAAGAACATAAAACAGTTCATTCTACACCTCCAACTGCCTGAGAAAGAAAAAAATATTCTTCCAGTTTTATAAATTCATTCCTTACTTAGGATTTTTTCCATTTGGCATGCAGTTCCTTTGCTGCCAAACAACCTTTCAAGGCTATAATGCACATTAACAAGGTATGAAAACATGAGCTGAACAAAGTTTGTGTCATCAAGCTCCTTGATCTATTACAGTTAGTATATATATATATAAAAAAAAAAAAACTTGTTGTGTTTCCTTGTAGCAAGAGGCTCTATACACAGTAGGGTAACTAAGTACTTCTGGTCATGTGCAGTATTAGACATTTTGTGTGTGCTCATGTCTTTAAACATTCAGAATTAATCATGAACCATGGTGATTGTACCTCACTATAAGGCGGCTTATTATAGTTTGGTCTCATGGCTTTACCAACTTTTGTCTCCTCAGTCAAAGATTCTGACAGTTCCCACCTTCACTGATAGTTGTGTGTATGTTTTATGGCTACTTGCTTCCCAAAAAAAGCACAAGTTCCATATGAAAAAAGTAATATGTATATACCACATTGAATCACAATATTACCTATACATCCAATTTACATTCTTTTCTCCTGAAAGCATTTCATATTTCGATCGCTTGACACAAGCTATTGACTGCAGAAGTGAAAGAACATAAAACAGTTCATTCTACACCTCCAACTGCCTGAGAAAGAAAAAAATATTCTTCCAGTTTTATAAATTCATTCCTTACTTAGGATTTTTTCCATTTGGCATGCAGTTCCTTTGCTGCCAAACAACCTTTCAAGGCTATAATGCACATTAACAAGGTATGAAAACATGAGCTGAACAAAGTTTGTGTCATCAAGCTCCTTGATCTATTACAGTTAGATTTTTCCTTCCCCCCCACCCCCCTCCACCAACTGAAGAATAGGTCATTTTAGCCTCCAAGTTAAAATCCTGACAGCAGCAAAATAAATCAACTGCTAAATGGAATGAAACTTCATCTACCTGAAGTACACAGGAACAATAACCAGGCAAGTGAGCACAAAGGTATGGTTATAGGCAGTCCGGGGCTTGGGGGGAGGGGGTGGAAGAAAAAAGGTGGCACAAGTTAAGGATGAGAACTACAGCACAGTTTATAAAACCATGAGAATAAATTTTATAATACTGTAAACTGCAAGAGTCTTCACATGTCATGGTTGATCAGGGGCCTCCATGGTCAGATCTTTAGGAGGGCATGTAGAGGAGCGGGGATCCATGGCTGAGTGCATTAAAGGAATATAAACATCATCCATGTTTGGCATGACAAAGATTTTCTGTGAAAAAGATGAGAGTTAAATCAAGTTACATTTCATATGCCACTCCAAAACTTCAGGTTTCTGATTTGTTCAATTAAACGCAACGAACTTGCGGATCACTTATTCTTTCCCTGAGTTCAGTACTGAACAGTATTGAAGCTTCAGTGTTCACTAACTACAGCCATTTAGTTGCGTTACAGCTGTAGCTGAAGCTCAGAAATACTAAGGTCTCTGCACGTTTCATTAACCTGAAATAGCACTACAGGAAACACCTACTTTTCTTCCTCTGCTGGTGTCTTTCTCTCAGCTCCTACCCACATACAAGTGGTTTTGATTTTGAGAAATAGTCCCTAAAAACTCTAAACCAAAACTATCATTAATGAAATGAAAATGTTATTAAAGAAACATACCTGAAACTCTTGTTCCAGTTTCTTCTCTATCCAGTCAGTTACATGAACCAGAGTCACTTCTCTCTCGCCAAGCTTTGGCCGAGCTTTTAGCTCCAGGTAGGGAGGTTTTCGAAAGCCGTACCTTAAGAGAGCACACAGGAAGGGCTTTACTATGAACGCTCCAACCAAGCATGTACTTGAATGTGTTAACTGTGAATGTTCTCTTAATAGTGGCTCCTGCCTAATGTATAACTACTTTGCATTGCACTGCTTCCAAAGCCCATTTCAGTTGCATTTTACCCTTTTTCTTGGTTGCAATGCCCTAGGTAGCACACAGCTGAAAGGCTCCACAGTTGTGCAGTAAGTTCCTCTTACCATACTCTGTCAGTAGGTGGAGGTGGAATGTTAATTGCTAGTGTTCCTCTGCACTCCTGTACTTCGACTGTTAGCAGCAATGGGGTATTGGAGACCTCTTCAATTTTCTTCTTAATAAACTCAGTCTCTGTTGCTTTCTGAAAGTATTTCGACTTCGTAATTTTATCCACAATTCTCATGATCTTACTTGTCCGATGTCCTCCGACATACCTGTAGTTACAGAAGAGGAAAAAGTATATCAAGGTAATTTTCTTAAACCTACTGTTCGCTAAGTCTCCAAGGTTTTCCTATGAAATCATTACAGTTCTTGATATAAAAATCTGTACACTAAACACAGGTGCATATTGACACGTCCAAGCGGTGTCTACCCACGCCTGCACACAGCAGCAGCACTGTCAGCTACGAGTGTCTGGCAGCAATTCTGTCCGGTCTGAACACTCCTCCTTCCCAGATGGCACTGGAAACACTTTTTTTTTAAATCGCAAATGCACTTATGTGATTCAAGAGTAAGCTGGCAGGAGAAGTGCCAACTTGTCTATTACCATTTAAGCAAAATTGTCAAGAGACAGATGCACTGAGACATATGCACATATCTTCAGCACAGAAGGCCCAGCCATCATGTCCAATCTATTTAAGTGTCTAATAACAAGATTTTCATTTTGTTTTAAGGTGCTGCTGCATTTACAATGAGTGGGAAGGTGTTGGAAAAGAGGAGGAAGGTGATTTTGGTAGTGGATGGAATGACATCCCAGAAATGGGTAACTATGCCACTATTTTCCTGGCAATAGCGTCAGACGGTGCCCCAGCTTTTAAAGCAGATACTTTTAAGGACTGAGTATGCCTCTTCTCATACCTATCATATTTAGGAAATATACCCTATAAGAATAGCATATTTGGTATTTCCGCACACTATATATGCCGGATTGTGGCTTTTGATGTTATGTAGCAGAGATGGCCTTGCTAAAGAAATGACATTTTCCTCTCCTGACAAAATTCAGGGTTATACAGCCTTTTAGAGACCCTTCTGTCTAGTCACCAGAGAAGACAACAAACTCTTCAGCTGGTATAAAACAGGTGCATTAATTTCAACTTTTGGATTTATGCTAGCTGTATCTCATCAGGACCTACAGTGGTAGCAATGCAGGTTTTTGAAAGGCACAAGAAAATATTTTACTTAAAAACTCTTTGTTCTCTCTCTTTGTCCTCTTGATATGTTTTTAAAAGAAAAGAATCTATTTAAATAATTCCAACAATTCATCACATAGTCTTCTAAAGGTTTTAGGAGCAAAACTCCAAGGAAGCCCCTTGGAACATTTTGAATGTGTCATGGGGCCTTTCACTGATTCACTGTAAAATCACTGAGGTGTGTTCAGACCTAGGAAACGCTGTGGTTGGCTGACACGTTTCAGGCTTACTCTAGATCTCTCACTGCACAGCATAATCTCAATCAGCTGTAAAAAGAAAAGGCCAGAGAACAGCAGCCAAAATAAGGAATGACGTGGCAAAACTGACTTTTAAGAAATTTCCTTTAGAATTCTCCTTGTGCGGCATCAGAGGGCAGTGTTACATAGCCGAGATGCTCAAAGCCCTTCAAGAGAAAAAACAACACTAAGCAAGAAAGCCAGGCTTGAATAATAGATGTTTGACATTTCCTTAAAGAAAAGAATGCACTGGAAATAAGGGATCAGCAGGATCAGTCAGTACATGTACCCACTGTGCATAAACAGGGTGGTTCACTAGTCCAAAGATAAGGTTAGAAATGTTTATGTCATCCTGAAATCTTGCACCTTGTCTAACATTGGTGTGTTTCAGTATTAAGAACAGCAGTCTAAACACTGCGTTTCACGTTCACACACAAAATTGCGTTCTTGGCTCTGCTACCGAGCAAGACATGCTGGGGAAATTCTCCATAGGTTCTGTGGCCCAAAGATTTAGCTCCCTCCGTAACCCAATAGTGAAGGGATTAGGAGGTGTTAAATGCAGCACTATGCGGTTCACTCTGCAGAAAGCGCTGTACAGAGCTTTCTTTTGTTCTGTGGTGCATTGCTTGGTTGCTGCTCTTTGTTCCAAAAGTAGCTGAGATTTGTTTGCTTCGTTGCTTTGAACATACTCACACTCTGACACCCTGCGTCACAATGAACATCATAGGGCTGGACCAGGATATCGGTTATACTAGTAAGTCTGGAAATGGCAAAAAAAAAAAAAAGGGGGGGGGGAATTAACAATAAACACTACATAGACATCTTACCCTTCTGCTCCTGGAGTCAGCTGCTTCTCTCCTGCCAACTCAGGAGCATCATCCTCTTCTGAAGACCCAGCGCTGGAGGATTCCTCATCACTGTCTGCAAGACAATACACCCTTGGCCTGAAACTGAAAGAATGCAATTTCCAGGTCAAATATAACATTCTTAAATAGCTATTCACCATGCACAGCTTTTTGGCTGCCATTACATGTATTTCTACTTGAGATTCTGAAGTGTCCCCTCCCTTCTCATAAGCTCTCAATCTTAGAGAATAAAACAGAAGACATGCTGAAGCCCGAGTCAGTAGCAGCTAGCTTTAAAACAGAACGTTGTTTTTTTCCTGCGGAATGGAGTCCTTCATGAATGCTCTACATGCCATCAAACTGAATGGGAAAATGGCTTGAAACACGTTTGAAAGCATCTCTGTTGCTGCTCGTAGCTTTACAAGCAATTTGAGCAAGACCTAGGCTGGACAGGTTTTTCATTTTAAAAACTTTGACAAAGCTGATTTTTTAAATGGAAAGGTGAGAACTACAACTCTGTCGTGTACTAAATGCCAACCTAAGCCTCCATTAATGTTTGCGTGAGAGAAAAGTGAACACGTTTAATGTAAACACAGCCAAGATCAAAATCCCCAGACTTCTAACTAGTATAATTATTTGAAACTGATATATTTCGGATCCACTTTGCACAAATCGTGTACATCTACACTGTCAAAAGAGCATACTCTCAATGAGGGATTGCTAACCAGAGTCTGGTTAAGCAACAAGCAATGAAGGCAAGGCGATGTAGGTTTTGAATTGACATTGTCAACTATATTAATCCCAGAATCCTTCCGAGATGCTGACTGAGGTCCTACCCCATGTACTCTATCTTCACAGCACTTGTAGCCCAAGCTAATAAACTCCGCTTGGTCCTCTCACACCCGTGCACAATTTTTGCGGCATGGACACACCGCAAGCAATAACAACACAGGCAAAGTACGAGAGAAACAGATCCTTATGGTCTGTCTGAAAAGGAAACGCACCACACTCATAACTGCCATAGCTACGTTGTCTCAAACTAGCAATTCACACTGCTGTAACTGTGGTGGCCTGTCATTACTTAACACACATAACATTTCATGTAGAAAAAGGGGGGAGTTTCATTAAGAGAAGTCTGCTATCACCCCGGGAAGTAACATTTCTTAGACATGGTGTTGCGATCCTTTTGTCCCATACTAGTTTGCAATATCTCCCTTCACTGTCTTTGCTGGAAATACTCCTTTTCCCTACCAAAATGATAGGGAAATTGTCCCTCAGGTTTGTGAAGTTTTAAGCTCCTCTGACACAGTGACCGATGTTCGTAGTATTTAAGTTACTTTTTTTGCTGAAGGGAGCCCAAGATAAAGATCAGGCAAACAGTGTCACGGGGGGAGTAGGGGACAAGAGGAATAATGAGAATAAAACCAAACAAGCACTGCTCTCAAAGAGAATACAATATATTACCTGCTAGCAACTAATTCCTAGATTTCAGCTTTAGAAAACGTATGTACATAAGCACAGAAAAAAAACGTTCAAAACA